TTTTATATATATTGCTTTATCCCTAAAATGTCATTTGATCTTTAGTCACTACTGAAGTAAACCCATTGACATTTTTAGTGTGATTAAGTGAAACCTTGCTGATTTCCATGGTTTTACTTTAAGTGCAAATATATCAGGATCTGACCAACTGTGTGTGCACGTGTGTCTCTGTTGAGAGGGAGAGATATAAAATCTAAACCTTTCCATTTAGATCAAATAACCAATAAATCCCAGAGCAGATCTGACTCTAAAGACAGCAGTCATTCTAGTTCTCTCTTAACTCTTGAAGGCTTAAAAGATATCTTTTCAGTTGACAATAATAAGCTAGCACAACGGCTTCAGCATACTGATAAACAAAACAGGCCTTTCAGATCAAAAAGCAGAAGACAGAATGAATTAAGCTGAGAATAAACTGATCCACTGGAGACAAAAACTACTAATTATAGCAAAGCATTAATAAAATGCCCAAATGTGGGTATGCATAAGTAAGTGGAAAGAGAAGAGCTGGTCCAACAAGAGTCTGTGACAGGCAGGTTTTCAGCATCCTGCAATATGTGGTAGATTTCCATTTCCAGAGATGAACTATGATTGCAGGGAAGGTGCAGTCTTCCCCAACCCCCTCCCAAACCATGTGATGCAGGGAGGAAAGAATTGCAAATTAGTACAATGGCTTCTTCCATCCAAAGCTAAGAAGCACTTACTTTACAGCAGTGCTAGTGGTCAAAATGCATCCATAGATTATGTAGCATGCAATCAATTAGTATGTCAGAGAGGTTGCTCAGATGATTTCCCCTATACTTACATCTTATATTCCCTGTTGTAAAAGGAATAATTAACCGAAATCCAATTAGTGCAGATTTAGAACACCTGTTTCCTCAATCCTTTGAATAACTTTCTAATATTTATTTATTTCAAACCCCCCTCCCAACTCTTTGTTTTAAGATGAAATACACATCCTTATCTAGTTGCTCTTAGGAAATCTACAGATTTGCATATACAATTGAAGGAGGAGAACACTCATTGTAACAGACTTCAAATACCTAGTGATATTATATAAATAAACAGACTGGATGTAACAAAGGGGACATGCTCCTTCAAAAATGAGTAACACAGTCTCACAATATATATTTTTAAATGCTTTTCCTCCTTTCAGTGGTGAGTGCAGGATTTTCCAGCTGGATTAATGAAATCTTTTTCTGATGTTACATTTTAAAGACATTTTAGATATGGGAGTTACATAATGAGACTTCCTTTCCTCCGTTGAAACTTATGTGGCTCTCATCTTACAGGAATATATGACTTCTTTGCAGAAATGAGTTCTGAAACATGCAAGGGGAGTCAGAGATTCTGAAAAATGTGATGTGGCTTTCTTTTGGAAGTCAAAGGAAAATAAATTATGCAAACTTACAGAATGTATCAGAAAGTACAGAGAGGGCAAGTAAAGATCTACCCTTTCTATTTCTGACACAACAAATGATACACAACCACTGTAATTTAAAATAAATCATACACTCACAACAGTGGGCCAGTTCCAGGCCCGTAGCCAGGATTTCGTTTGGGGGGGGGGCTGAATTTTTTTTAGGGGGGTGTCGGGGGGGCTGAGTTTCGGGGGGGCTGAGTCTGAGTGAAAGAGGGTCTATCCTAGCAAACCTTTTGTTTCATTACCCCAATACCCCCATGCATATGGGATATATTGAGTATGGTGATCAGATCATGATATGAATAAACATAACAGTTTAAATAATGCACCAGTAAGGCCTTTTAGCGAACCACCATGAGAATTTCGGGGGGGGGGGGGTCTGAAGCCCCTCAAGCCCCCCCCCCCCCCGGCTACATGCCTGGCCAGTTCAATACAATGACTTCACAATGTATCATTTTCCTTCATTCACCCCTCAATGGTGAACAAAAACATCAGCCTCCACAATGTCCAAAAAACATATAGAGGTGTATGACTGAACTATGTTTGCTTATCTCACCAATAAGATGCCAACCATAGTAGTATCTTTGAGTAATAACACAAGCCAACAAAATCAAACTTTTTGTAATAATCAGAAATGAGTGTAGCAAAGTTTAAATCAATTTTATTTTGATTTTTAAATATGTCTTTATTTTTTCTATCATGTCAATTTTTTAAAATATGATGAATGATACATTACAGTGGACTACTGTAAAGTCTGTACATTTCACGTCTTATTAGTGTAACACATGTCAAGTATTTGTCATCAGATATAATTTTAGGTCATTCTTATAGAGTTTTTTGTGCTGAATTCAGATCTGTGTTTATTTTTTCTCTATCGCGTGTAGTTAATTAATACATTTACGCATTGATATCAATTAGATTCTATTAATATCAGTGCATCAATGCATTAATTATTTTATTAGCCTCATCGCAAAACTACACATGATAGAGAAAAAAACAAACACATATTTGAATTCAGCGCAAAAAAAATCTATAAGAATGACCTAAAATTATATCTGATGAAAAATACTTGTTGGCTTGTGTAATGGCAGAAGGGGGGGGGGGGAATCAATGACTATGCCAATGACATGTTATATAGGTTGAGCATCCCTTATCCAGAATTCCAAAATCCAAAACACTCCAAAATCATCTACATGTGTGGATGAGATAGGGACACCTTTGGGTTTTGATGGTTCAGTATACCCAAACTTGTTGTGTGCACAAAATTATTAAAAATATTGTTCATACAATTACCTTTAAGTTATGTTTATAATGTGTATAATGAATTTCATGTTTTAGACTTGGATCCCACACCAAGGTATCTCATTATGGACATGCAAGTACTAGAACATCTGGGGGGAAAATCAAAATATAGAACACTTCAGGTCCCAAGCATTTCATATATGGAAAACTCAGCCTTTACCAGAAGTACTGAAAAATGGCACTTTCCCTGGGTCATTTCTGGTTCAGTGCAAAAAAAAAAGAAAGAAAAAAGAATAGTGATGATATTGTCTTCTGGATGACCTAGAAACACAATTTCAAAAAGACCCACACAAAAATGGCTCCACGTGTTATTAGAGGTAGGTTGATAGAACCAAGAGACCAGCATGAACTAGCACCTTCTGTGTTACAATATGACCACAAAAATATTCAAGGAATGAATTTTAGCTGCAGTAAGTAGGTGGTAGATGAATTGACCTAGATAACTCAAGTGAGATTATTCTAGCATTTTTCTGTATCATCCTTATCCAAATCCAAGTTGAATGTAAAATTATCCCATTGTGATTATTTTCCCTAATTTCAGTAGTGTAAAATATATGCTAAAAATAAGAATGAAGTTAAAAAGAATGAAATAGATGCAGACTGCTAAGGAAAAAAAGATGAATTCACAGTAAAGGTTTTCATAAACAGGATTCTATTTTAACACCATTAACTGAAGTGGAAGGTTGCCCAGAAAACAATAGAATTTACTTTTAAGTATCAAACGCCAGTGGCATATGTTCCACGCAATTCTAAATATTCCTTCCATTACTTTACTCTCATCCCAAATAAATCCTCCATGAATTCAGTCCCAGCTCAACATCAGCAGTTGCACAACCAAAATAAGCAACTGAAAATGGGGGGACAGGTGCTGAAAGAAGAGTCTAGACTCATCTCTATAAAGCCATTTAGTGACACTAACCATGACCGTGTGCAACGGCTTTGTACAGCTCATCTCCTTGATCACCTCCTCTGTTTTTGTACATAGTATGTCATATACTCAGTTATACAGACTGCATCAGAGGGAACATAAGGAGACAGAGCAGCAAAATCAATGCCAAAAAATACAGGCTGCAATGCTATGTCCATTTACCCAAGAGAAAGCCAAGAGAACTCACTGGGAGTTCCTTCTCCATAAAAGGATTGGGTTGTAATATTATGTGCTACTTTATGAACTATCCCACAAATGCGAGCTAATCCAATAAAATAAATCAAGTCCCCCAGTTCACTGAGTATAATCTATGCTCTATACATTATAAATGAATACACCTGTATGGTGATACAGTAAGCAATTTAGAAATAAAGCTGGTTATATTGTTATTGTACTGTTTAGAAGCCCGACGACATTATAACTGAGGAGATATTCCCTTCATGAATGGCTCAGAAGCATACACCAGAAAATGAAGGTTACAGGAGATTTGGAAGGCGAGGATCTAGTTTCCGAGGGTTGAAATTCAGCATCCAAGTTTGGTTCGGAGAAAGTAGAAACAAATACATGGGGGTAGAGGGGGAAGTGATAAAATGAATGAAAAAAGAGAAGGGCAGGGAATAGCAATGCTGTGCAATGTCTAAGCAGGTCAGGTTGTACACATATGAAGCCAAGTGATCTGAGGGTAAAAAGCCAATTAGTGGATTAAAGGGTAAGGACCTACTGAAATGGGGATGGGGGGGGGTGATAATATAGCCAGCAAAGGGAGAGGATTGAATAAAAGAAGTGATAAGAGTATTCAATTGAGAGGAAATGCTGTCAGGTGCTGAATGGAGAAAGAAGAGAAAACAATAGAAACAAAACCTGTCATTTAATCAAAGCCTGAGGTAGTGAAAATCTGGAACCCCTCCAGCCGCCCACTAAAAAAAAAAAAACCTAGTTTGGTCTCAAGCTCCCACTAAAGTGTTATCATTGCTAAAAGGGGGAACAGATGGAAGATTTGGCCACTACTGTATAAAATTAAATGAGTAGCAATTAGGGTATAGAGCGATTATAAATGGTTACCACTAAATTCTCTCTGTTTACAAGTTGTACACATAAAAGGGACATTGTGTCTGGAAACCTTGAAATAATGCCTCTTATATGGGCCTGAAACAAAAAAAAAAGGTAATCAGACAATGCCCATCTTGAAGACTTGAGCCTGGCACCTATAAAATCAATATGGCTACCAACCCCTTTCAAACTTCTGTAGTGTTAACTTTTCACCAGAAAATTTATTCCTACTTGGCCCTAAAGGTGCCAGCAACTAAAAGAAGTGAGTCACAGGTGAAGCAAAGTTACCCTAAATCTCACCTTTCAGAAGTAGTCATGTTCCACTTCTTTCTTCCTTGGTGTCCAAAGGCTCCTGTAAGGCAGACAATGGGAAACAAATGAAGAAGAAATATCAACATAGACTTCACAACCTCTGAGGATGCTTGCCATAAAAGCAGGTGAAACGTCAGGAGAGAATGCTTCTAGAACATGGCCATATAGCCTGAAAAACCTACAACAACCCAGTGTTTCCAGCCATGAAAGCCTTCGACAATACATCAACATTTTTATTGGGACAGCCGATTCTGTCAGAAACAAATACTCAGATAGTGCAATCTCCATTTCTATCTTGAATGTTTCCAATTAACTGCAGTGGCAATCCTTATTAATCCTCTGTCATCCCATTTTTTCAGATGCTTTCAAACTGTCTTGGTTTCTTTCTCCTCCACCCACTTAACCCCTTTGTCCTGAGCTTTTTTTACTTGCGGTACACTGAGTTCAAAATGCAAAAGTAGTTTGCATTCAGTGAACTCAGCAGAAGGAGATGAGAGGAAGGGGCAAAGACTTCCTTAGTTGTTATTGTTACATGCCTTCAAATCATTTTTGATTTATTGTGACCTTATAGATAGGATTTACTCAGAGGCAGTTTGCAGTTGCTCTCTTCTGAGACTGAGAGAGTATGACTTGCCTAAGGTCACCCTGGGAGTTTGCATAGCCGAAAAAGGATTCTAACCCTAGTCTCCTAGAATTCTGGTCCAGCATTTGAACTTTCACACCAAATGCTTTCTTCCCTTCCAGAAAACTTATAATATAGCTCCTTTTTTGACTAAAATTTCCAGAACTTATACATGCATATGTAAGGCAAGAGTATCTTGGTAAACAACAACAATACTCTTGATCATGAAAGATGTTATGGTGTAATAAGAGGCCACCTCTAAAAAGTGCTGCATCTATTTTGTTTATTTCAGAAAAGGTAAGAAAGCTTTGCTACTTATAGGGGCCTTGAACGTCCACTACCATTGTTTACATCTATCAATTTCTTGCACATTTCAGGACATATAAACCTTACTCCAGAAAGAAAAAGAGAAAAGACAGTACAAGCAATAACACAGATGATGATAGGATCTGTGTTATTACTCAATTTCCTAAGTTAGGAAATGACTGGGACTACATATCCCACCACAGAGCTATACTAGGATAGCACATAGTCCCTTTCAGAGCAAGTTTACGAGTGTTTCTGTAGCCCTGGAATCATAAAACTGAAAGAGATCACAGGACCATCCAATCCAATTCGGGATCACAATCATCTCTGTTTATAAACTTCCAAGGAAGGAGACTCTTCCATACTTCATGGCAATGCATTCCACTGTTAAACAGTTGTTATTATCAGGAGACTCTCCAAATGTTTAGATGGAATCTATTTTCCTTTAGTTTGGATCCATTACTTTGTGACTTGGGTTCATTCTTTGGAATCTTTTAAACAGAGGATGGATGGCCATCTATCAAGGGTGCTTTGAATACAATATTCCTGCTTCTTGGCAGGGGGTTGGATTGGACGGCCCATGAGGTCTCTTCCAACTCTATAATTCTATGATTCTATGATTCTATCTACATGAGCCAAATACTCTAGGGCTGATCTGGAGTGGAATTCTTTGGATAAGCCCCATGGGATCCACACTGGTTAGCTCTGTACTGCTGTGGTATCGAGAAGGAGTCCACACCAGGCTAAACCTAGTTTGGCCCCTGTTCTCCTGTCACCATCGTAGTAGTGGCTCAGGAGCTCCACTCCTTGCCTTTGTTGGTGCTTGGAAAAGAACCAGTGCAACTCGGCGAGGGGAAGGGGAAAGAGCCAATATCTTCAAACAGCTCAATACAGATATTGCATGTGTTAATTAATATGTCTGGGAGAATGGAAACTCACATGCCTGAGGCTATACATTTATACTTTATCATTATGGTTTTTTTTAACTTAGACTTTGTGTACTCTTTTTGTATACTCATAACTAGTGATCCATTTCACCTTCTTATGTTGGATATTCTCTGCTTTAAATATACCCAAATACCATATTTATTAGATTCTAATGTTCACCTTTTTTGACTAGATCACCTCCCCAAAATTAGGGTGCACATTACATTTGTGTAATATGTTAAATATTTTTTTAGACTTTGGGGTTTTGAAAAGTGAGATGCGCATTAGATTCAATAGCGCATTAGATTTGAGTAAATATGGTTCATCATGGTTGAGGCTTTTAATGAAATTTCCACCAGAGTGCTTAATTCTCTCTGATTCAACAATTTTACCATTTATTAGTAGTAACAATTCTAACATTAACAATACTGAATAATTCTAAATTCCATAAAAGTGTCTTGGTTAGATATTCTTAAAGCCTTCAACAAAAATTTAATTTCTGGTGGTCACTTTCCAAGTAGTACTCAATCATTCAAATAGAAAAAAATATTTCTTTTCAATCTTTCATATCTCCAATTTCCTTTCTTTAATTTCATGACAGTGGTATCAATTCAATTATAAATAATACCAGAGAGAAAGAATCACCTTGAAAATTGCATACCTAATATTAACTCTGCCAAATTCTTCTCCACCTGCTGTTAAACTGGTAGTCCATGATTTGACTGGACTGGAAATGAGTTATCGGATGTTTCTGATGATTGCTAAAGTTACAAGATATTTTTGATTCATGAAAGATTTTTTAAAATCTTGAAATTGTAAGACTTATTTTCTATAGTCAGTCTGTGAAATGTAGAAAATGTAATTTGTCCTTCACGGTTTTTCAATATCATTTTATCAATTATTAATTGGTCTTTTGTTCCTCCAAATTAACGCCCTTCCTACGGACATTAGACTAGCACCATCTCTAATGGTATTCCGCAAAAAGGTGAAGACCTGGATGTTTGTGCAGGCGTTTGAGTAATTTAGTGCAATCTGGTAATGGAACATAGGAATGGAACAAGGGACGACGAACCTGGACTACGCTTGGATGATGAGAAGATTGGGTACGGTTGTTTTTTGTAATAATTGTGCATTGTAACTGCTTATTGGTAATTTATGGATAATGTGTTAAGTCAATTGTTATATGTTGTATGGAACCACTGCTGTTTCTACTGTTTTTACTGTTTGTGAACCGCCGTGAGTCGCCTTCGGGCTTGAGATACAGCGGTATATAAGCAAAGTAAATAAATAAATAATAAATAAATTAATTAAGGGCAATTACCCCTCTGTTCCTCTCTCTGTATGTGTTCGAGTTGCCTTTAAACTCATAGCAATCCTATAAATACTCAAGAGATGGTTTAACCAGATCCTTCTTCTCAAATATAACATGCAGCACCTGATATCCACTGATAGTCTTCCATCCAAATACTAATTGTTCCATTTTTCATTTTTCAACCTTTCATCCACTAAAGTTTTTAAAGTTTCTCTCTTTAATTTTATGACGTTTTACTCAGGTCAAGTTGACCATTTTGATTTCCAACCTTTTGGTGTTTTCTTCAGTTTATCAATCCCATATTCTAGATTTCTTGAGTGTATTCCTGTTACACTATACAGGAATTGGTTGGAATTGGTAGAACCACCAAGTTGACATGTTCTGTAACTTATTTCAGTTCTTTCTTTGGTGCAAGTTTGAAATGTGGTAGCCCTTTTCAGTTTGAATGTTACTTATTTCCTCAGTAATTGCCCTTTGTAATTCAGGGTTTTTGGAGAACAAGAATCGCCTTTTTAGGCTGATATTTGCGGTATACAAAAGAAGTAAATAAATAAATAATAAATAAATAATAAATAATTAATACTTCTTTTCTTTGTAATTTTATTTTGAAATTTCCTCATTTTCTAAAATTCTAATACTAGCTTTGTTTTCAATTAGTAATCCATATACTTTCTTTTTCCAAGTTAGCAGTTTCCATTGATTCTTCTCACTCTTACTTCTTTGTTCTTCTGCTTTATTGATCTTTCCTTGCAATTTTTCAAGTTTCTGCACTAGAGGCTGGGAATGTTTCTTTCCAGATAGTATAATTCTCTTTTGGTGACCTTGGGCTGGTGGATTTGCTTTATAATAGGATTCCATTATTAATTTGTTTCCTAATGCTGTTCATTTCTTCTGCTGTGGTTAGTCTTCTAGTAGCTTCACAGCATCTTACTCTGGTTTCCTAGTAAAAGATAGAGCCCTGTAAACCATTTTTAGGTAATGTCAGGAACTCTAATATCTGACACCATCATTGTTGACCTGCTATGGGGTTGCTTTTGGTCTCTGCAGCATATTTAATAAGTTTGAGTCACTCTTTGTTCTGTCCCCTCAGCAAAAGTTTGTCTGATTTTAGTAACTTTACCAATAGCCAATTCCAGTGCATAGAAAAGTACCACCAATAAATGAGAAGTGTGGGGGGGGGGGGGGCTTTTTAAAAAATCCTTCCCCCAAAACTGTGATTCTAGTAGCTGAGGTATAGTTAAAACATTAATGGAATTAAACTATAATTACACCACCTCCCTTTAGACTCGTGGGTTAAGTTGGGTTTTAATAACTACTCGTACGTGGTTTTTAGTCTAGATTTTAAAATTTGTTGAAGGCTGAAGTATATAATCCCTTGGGTTTGACGTGGATGTGCGGGACTGGTTCCCCCTGTTATGATCTGGTCATTGACTGTAATAAAGTTTACTACTTCAACTATAAATAGCAATTTGTTAAATGCTAAGCTGAAACAATTTAAAACATACAATTAGAAATAATAAAAAGCAGTTTTTAAAACAGTACAGTTAGAACAGCAGATTATCCCATTAAAAACTTTTTCATTAAAAAAACCATTCAATTCTCAAAAACCCATTAGAATATTTTGAAAAATATTTCCCTGTCAGTAGTGGAACAGCAAGGAAGGGGCCATTGTAGTCTCCCTTATCAAGAAATTCCAAAGCACACAGATTATGTATAGTACTTTCTCCAGGATAACTTAATCCTAATACATTGAAAAGTGGGTAGATTTATTATATATGATTAGCAAATGAACTACATAGGTATGTCCAGAGTCCCTTGTTGATAATTTTATCTTTTTTAAAAACATCTCCCCCAGAACTTCCGTTTTAGGCTA